TTTATCATTTTACTGGAAAAACCCACAGATTTTGCAGTTTTGTGACAAGCCCTCTGCAGACTGGCAGAGTTCAGGCTTGCAAGGGGCTGGGAGGGAGTGGGAGGAGGGTGGCCAGGCAGGGGTCTCCATGTGCATGCATATGCACATGGCTGCCAGGCAGCCTGGACAGTAACTCCTGCAAGTAAGTTGCGGGGGTGGGGATTGAAGCCCCCATTTGGAGGGAGGGGTGGATTTGAGCAGGGCTAGGGCTGGGGCTGCTGCTCAGCTGGACAGTGCCTGGCTCTTGGGGCCTGGGGACACAATCCACGGCTGTAAGGCCCCAACGGGGAGCAGGACGAGGCTGCAGGTGACTCCTGTGGGAGGCAGAGGGGGGCAGGGCTGGCTCCCCACTGTTGCGCACAGGCCCAGGGGGGCAGGGGGGCCCATGCCCCCCAGATCTGGGGGTGGGGCAGGCTGTCTGCTGTGGGCTTGGATGGGGGAGGGCCTCACCACACCACTGCACACACTCCTGGGACCTGCCCCCCCCCAGATCTGTGTGTGGGGAGGGGGATGCATGCTGCCAACTTCAGGCTCATGCTCCGTGTCCTGCTGCCCTCCCCGGGGCCTCCACAGCCCAGCGTGTGTGACCTGATGCTGCAAAGAACAGCAGATCCATGCAGGAAGCTGCCTGCTGCTGTAAGATCCACGCTGCCCTCATCCTCTGTGTGCAACCCTGTGGTGTTGTCCCCACTGCAGCTGCACAGGCATGGGAAGCATCACCAGGGCAGTGCAAAACTTGCAGTGGTAGGCAGCTTCTGCGTGGCTCCATTGTTCTTTGCAGCACCATGTTGCACAAGGTGGGCTGCAGAGGCATTGGGGGAGGGCAGCAGGGCTGGATCCCACAGCAGGCAGTATGCAGCCCCTGCCCCATGCACAGACCTGGGGGGCATGGGGCCTGCACACAGACCTGGAAGGCATGTGTCTCCCTGCCACTAGGAATGCATGCTGTGGCTGGGAGCAGCCCCCTCCCAAGTCCACAGTGGGCAGGCAGCGGGGGGAGGGGGGGTGCTGGGTTCCTCTCCACTGCAGCAGCTGCTTCCTCTGCCAGGTACAGGGGGCTGTGGACCTGGGTCTGCCCCATAGTGCTGGCAGCTGGGGGCTCCCTCTG